AGAAACCGGTGGGGAGTTCGCGTACCTTGCCGGCGAGTCCGGAGGGGTCCCGGGAAGCACCTCCTTCCCCGGGGGGGCGAGGAAGGCGGGGCTGGATGGAGGCGTGCCGCCCTCATCCCTCTGTGAGGGCAGTTGGGTGGGGAAGCGGGGACACTGCGTACCTGCGTGTGTGCCCCCAGGCCCTCGGAGCGTGAGTTTTGAGTCTAACGAGGTAATAACATCTCTGAGGTTATCCTGGGGGATCTCCGCTTCCTGAATGTGCGTCAGGGAGACATTAATTAGCCTCTTTGATAGCCGAATGCATTTGACCTTGTTTTACCATCACCTGCAAGCTCCTTTGCTGCTGGCACTACTAATAAAATCTTTCGTAGTTATCCTTTCTCTGGGAGCAGTAAAAAACTGGGCCAACTGAGATGATGTTACTTTAGAGTTGGCTAGGTTTATAAAGATGTTGCAGAAAAAAATAGTGGAGCCAGTGTTCAGGAGTTTTTTGGTTTGGATTTTTTCTTTTAAATGAAGGGGGGGAAAAACCCCAGGAATACCTTTTTTTTTTTTTAATTATTATTTTCAAAAGTTTAAAGGAGCAGGCCAGTGAAGTCATTGGCAGGAAAAAAAAATCAAGGTTGTAAATACTGAGGATATTTTGGGTTTAAATATAAAAACTCTGGAATTTGTACTGCAAGGTGGGGGGGGGGCAAATGTTGATGTAACACAGGGGTTCTTAACAAATAAAAAGAAAATATGATAGAATTGGAAAATGGCCTTGATTGACAAAGAAAGGTTCATCTTGGAGGTAGAAAGTGTCGGAGTATGTTAGCCGTTGCTAAAGAAACCTGAAGATTATGTAAAGGAAATTAAAAACAGTATCTTACATAAGCAAAGGAAGGTCAGGAGAAGAAGTGGAGGTGCTGTGCACTTAGCGTGTGTGGGTGGAACTGTGAAACCCTAAACAACTTTGCTTTAGCTTTACAACAAAAAAGAGGAAGGAGATTTAACTCTAGCCAAGGAAGAAGGAAAATTTAAAAAAGTGTTCCAGACAATGTAATTGCATTAGTTTGGCATCAGCAGTCTGCCAGGATGGGGGCGGGGAGAAAATTAAGAACATAAACTGTCTACCAGAGTGTTACCGGATAGGGTATACTGGGATTTTTGAAGAAAATATACTGGGCTGGAGAACTGATTTCTTTGAGTTGTCTCTAGCTGTTCTGAAATTTAAGGAAGCAATTGATGTACTGCTGCTTGGGAAATACCTGATCAGTGAAAGAAGATGGACACTGGTAAAAAAATACAAGGAAGGTTGGGTTAAAGGTATGAGTCAGGTGGGAGAGGCTGCCAGTTCATATACTTCTCAAAGAATCAGTCAGTCTTATGGTTGAGTCAGGCTCTAGACTCTTGCAGGGTATTTCTTTCAAATGCAGTGGCTCAGCAATCCATCTCTTCTGTGCCATTAAAACACGCCTGTGACACCACAATGGCAATCGCTGGCCTCTGCCTTACAACACTATTCAGCAGTACATATTAGAGCATTTCACAAAGTCATGTGATAGTTATTACTGTTATTATATACAGAGGGAAACTGAAGCATAGAGAGTAGCAGGTGAGAGGCAGGGTTGGAAAGAAAGCACAACAATTAGACTCAGTGGGCTACTTGATCTCAAGTATCTCTGTTTTATTGTGGTATAAAGCTTTGTGATCTATTCCTAGGGCCCAAGTAAGTATGAAAATTTGAAGGTGAGCAGCATTAAGTGACTCTTCTCCAGGAAAAAGGAATAGATAGCTCAGCAGTTTTTGTAAGTGTAGTTATTTCTATAGGTTATGTATTTCAAAGCTATTCTATTCAGAGGGACTTTTTACAAGGGCATGTAGTGACAGGACAGAGAGTAACAGTTTTAAACTGAAAGAAGGTAGATTTAGATTAGATGTTAGGAAGAAATGCTTTACTGTGAGGGTGGTGAGGCACTGGAACAGGTTGCCCAGAGAAGTTGTGGATGCCCCCTCCCTGGAAGTGTTCAAGGCCAGGTTGGATGGGGCTTTGGGCAACCTGGTCTAATGGAGGGTGTCCATGTCAGGGGGGGTCAGAGCCAGATGATTTTTGAGGTTCTTTCCAACCCAAACCATTCTGTGATTCTATGAATGTATGAAGCCATCCATAGACCAGTAACTTCCTAGGAGAATAGAATAGTAAATGAAAAATACATAAACTTTCCAGAACTGGCAATGTAATATTTTCTGGAGTTCATCTTCCTGCCCTCCCTGCACCTCAACATGATCCATTAACACTTCTTCAGACAGATTTGGAGTTACAAAGAGGTAATTTTCTAGCTGACATTCTTTGCTTAGCATTTGCATTTCAAAATTTTTGTCACATTTGCTATTGGAAAGAGAATACAGAAACAGAATCTCAGGAGCGCTTTTGTTTAAAAAACATACAGGATTTGTATCATTGTTAAGATGGTTTGTATTAGTTAAAATTTGGCTGTGTTTCATAATATAGTGACAGTGCAATGTCAGGCTCTTTGGTACAGTGTGATAGCAGCTCAGCAGATGGGTATTAAAATAGATTCTTGTGCACGCACCCACACTGTTGTTGCAAGACACAAATTTGTAATCTTCATTTAGTCTCTGCATTTGTTAGGAAGTGAAGATAGTGACTTGGAACCAGCAGTTATACATTTTTGTCTTTTTCTCTTCCAAAACAACAACAAAAAAGCAGATTTTGATGTGCTTGCATTGATGTTAAAATGCTATGGTGAATAAATCCAGTGTGGGCACGCTGCACTGCAACAGTCAGTGCTGATAGATAGTAGTATCAGTTGCACTGATTGTAGGATCTTGCAACATCTTCATTTGTTCCAAAGGTTCCTCAAGCACAAATGATGCAGGTAGCATTATATAAAGGCAAGGTAACAAAAGCAATATTGTTTTATTATGTGCAGTGAAACACCTACCCTTTATCGTTTGGAATGAGGAAGGTCGAATAAAGAAAGTTTTTCTAAACTCATGTTCAGTTATTGAAAACCATAGAAATTCTAGAGGTTTGCCTTTGCAGTCCCTGTGTTTGTAGAATTAGGACCTCAGTTAGACAAGAATTCCAAATCAAAGCTAAATTGTTAGAAAGATGGATCAGGAAAGAATTATTACAGTGAAGGAGAAATGAACTTTTGGAAGAATTGGGCTTTATTGAAAGTCTTGTAGACTTGTGGGTAGCCATGAAGCTCTATTTTGCAGAAGACAGTAGTTGTGAATCATGCAGAAGCTGTGAGGTCAGCACTTAAACAGATGGTGAAATCTGAGGGGTAAATGAAAGAGCAGAGCAAACAACTTTGTAGTTATTGATGGTAGCGAACTCAAATTACAGGTGGAGATTATGCTTCAGTATATATAAAAAAAAGAATTTGGTATCCTAAAATGCAGATATTTTTGGTGTCAGGTACTGTGGTGGTATAAAGACAGGTGGTGAGGAAGAGTGCTGTATCTAGGGGAACTGTCAGGTGAAATACAGGTGTAGTTGTCTTGCAAAAAGCACTTGAATTTTTAAATAAACTAGCATTTAAGCACCTGCATTTCATTTGCCCTGTGTTATCAGTTCAGTGAATTCATTTAAGGTTGGTTTAGAGGAAGGCTGACTATGTAACATCTACATTATCTGGAGTTTCTTTATCAAGTCTGCTGCCTGCAGCTTAGCAACTAATGATTCCACTTAATTTGTGTTTTGTTGCAAGCTGAGCGCTATAAGCACTGCCATAGAATTAAATGAAGATTTTTAATAAGAATAATACATTGACAAATCTTTTTTTTTCTGTTTCAGGTGCTTTCTGTGAACATCCATGGAAGAGTAAAAGAATTTGAAAGCTATATTCTAGAGAAATTTGTGTAGTTTCTGTTACACAGAAATGCTGAAATTTCAAGAAACTGCTAAGCATGTTGCTGGTGCCAGATTTAATTCTGCTTGCTCAGATGCTATGATTGCAAGAAGATACACTATTGAGAGGAAACTCGGCAATGGAAGCTTTGGAAGTGTATATCTGGTTTCTGACAGAAAAGCAAAACAAGGAGAAGAATTGTAAGTAAGCCCTTCATGTATTTTAAATAAAAATGTTTGGAACATATTTCTTGCGTTGTAGATCGTTTCTTTGTATTTGTGTCTCACCTTTCAGTTTGGTGTTATGTTGCAGCCTTAACTGTTTAACTTTAGTGAGGACATAAGATAGAAGCAGAATTTATGCTGACTCAGCATTCTAACTGAATCTGGTTTTGTCTGAAATAGTTTATCAGCTATCTCTAAGTCCTTTTTAATTTACTCGTGCAAGACAGAGTGGAGGTAGATAGAACATCTCAGACCCTCGTCTCCATAGTGATGTACACTCCTGAAGCTTTGTAAGAAATAATAAAATCAGTAGAAATATATGTAACTTACCCATTCCCCGGTGTCATGCCTTGGACAAGTTGCTGATGTAAGATACACTCTGTGGAAGTGACCCTTGTATTCACTCAGAACCGAGGTAAATTTTATCATTGTCCTGCCAAGAAGCAGGGCAAAGGTATATGCCAAGTTTAACAAATTTGCTCCTCGTCTTTGTAGCAAAATTGTTTTTAAGGCTTAAAGCTTTATCATTTATAAGCTATCATTCCATAATTATGTCAATATATAATATATGTGTGTATAATATAATTTTATTGTTCATTTTTGAGGTCTTTATATTTTAAAAACTTGGTTCTTGACGTTCTTTCATCAGAAAATTTACTAAAATGCTGGGCATTTGCCTTCCATTCCATGCTTATCCGTCTTCATGAACATGATGTTTTTGTTTTAAAAAATGTGGAAAAAGGGAATCCTTGATCTAATCAGGTCTGGCTACAGCAATATCTATCTCTACAATGCTTCATTCAGTTACACAGGCCAATTCAGGCATGGAACCTTTAAAGGGAGCATGAAAATGTCTGAATTTCTGAATATATTTTAATGGACTTGCCTCTTCATTCCTGATGATTTCTTACTTATTTACTGTAGGTAAGTGCTTTGATAACACTTAAGTGGATGCTTTCAGAAATTGATTCTGTGGCATTGTAAGGACTCAGATTGTTGGAGGAGGTCTCAAAAGAAACTGTACTGTATTGATGTCCTATTTTTTTATCATCGAGTTGTCTAAATGAGACCTGAGAAGGAATAGTTATAGAAATTCCAGTAAACACATCTCCGTTTGCTGTATACCTAACTTTTTTTTTTAAATTGCCAGCAAATCTTGATTATTATTTATTTATTTTATTTTATTTTTACCTGCCTGAATTTGGACAGGTCTCTTCAGTCTGGTTGATAAACCCTTTAGGATTCTGAAGCCACAAAGACAAAAGAACATTTTCAGACTGTTGACACTTCAGTACGTGAATTTGAAGTCAGGTACCTGGGTGATGCATTACTGAGTGGCCTTCCTGAGCTATGGTCAGAATTTATATCATCTTAGACCCTAAAGTCACTTAAACACAGTAGTTGCGTACTGCTGTGTTTGTCTAGTGGTTTGATACTTACACCAAGTGAGATTTAAATGTGAATATTTTTGGATTTATCCAATAGAATTTGTGAGGCTTTTTGTATCAAGTCTGAAACATAATCAATGTGCTTTTCAGCCAAAAATACGTTCCTCCTTTAAATATGGGTGTCTATTGGTTCTTACTGATGGACACATTAATGAGCAATTATATGATAAAAGAGCTTTTTCTGATTCATTTGTGCCTCACTTTTGCTATTTACGACAATGCATTCTTGGCAATATTGCTTTAATAAATGTGCAGCCAAGACATAATTATTTCACTTGTTTTCCTTCAACATCAATTTACAGCTTCTCAGCTCCTTGGATTACGGTTAGAGGCCACTATGCTCTTAGCTTCTTCCAGCTGGCTTGTAAGACTTTTGGATCTCTCTTAGCCTTAACTAGAGTTTGCTACAAAAATGTGCTTTAATGAAAACTTTCATTAAAACCAATAGATAGTATTTGTCATTTTCATTTTCTGATAAAATAATTTATCGTGCATACAGGGTGACAGGAACTACCTGAGCTTCAGCTATTACTGAACTCATTCTTAGAATATTAACAGTATAGTGAAAAGTGCTGCTATAGCACAAGCTGTCAAACCTCAAAAAAAAGGGGGGGGGGGGGAGGGGGGAAATGTGTGCTTTACCGTTAAGTAGTTATCATCTCCTTTCTTTAGGATTTTTCTTTGAGAACTTTAATTCTGAGTGACTGTGTTTTGAACAAACGTTCACTGTCTACAGCATATCATGCCTGTCTTTTGTTAGGGATAGGGCTGAGCATGTCCTCTGCCATCCTCAGGACAGAGGCTGAATATCAAATGACATATTCTTTTTGTTTTGTTGTTATCAGTCTCTTTGTGACTACAACGATATTTAATAAGCCAGTGCTAATGGAACACTGTAGTTTGTCCTTTCATCACTAGGGGGTACTTGCGTATCACAGTTATTATTTATTCCTTCTGAGCCTCAAATGTTGATTGAAGCGCAGATTCCACCAACTTTCTATCACTTATATGCTAATAGATGACAAAAATAGTGGCCCAGGTGAACATGAAAGCTCAGGTAACATAATGAGATAGAGTGTAGACACTTTCTTCTATTTAAAAGTATTGGAGTTCTAAGGTGGAAACATACTAGAAGTCACATTCTCAACACTACTTTCAAATTAAAAAATAATCTGTTATGGAACTGTACTGATTACTGCTTCTGTTATATTTTTCATTGGGAAGTATATATACTTTTAATGAAAAAATAGGTGATTATGTTTCTTAAAAATAAATAAATCTTAATACAGCTCTGAAAGCACTTTGGCAGAAAGAAGGAATTGAGCTATTTAGATGCCGAATGACCTCAGCAGAATTAGAAGCCTATTTTTATTGTTTCAGGGATGATCTAGAACATGCTGAGACAAACGTTATATGGAGAGTGAACTCAGCCACAGGTAGTTTCCTGAATATTGCTATAGTCTAAAGTACTGTGAAAGAGCATAGGAATAAATCATAAGAATACGAATTCCCAAGAATGACATTTTGGATATTGGTACAGATGCTGTTCAAGGATATCTTTTTCAATTTTCCATTAGTGCGATGTCTACAGAATGAGTTAATGCAGAAACTAACAATGGTTATCATGTAATTTCATGTGCGCTCAGCAAAGCTTTTGCATGATTTTAGAAATTTTTTGGGCATGCCTTGTACTTTGTTACCCCTAGAGGATCTTAACTGTGGTGAATGAAGTATTATGCACACAGTTGCTTCAGTTGGGAGGGAGAGAGGGTTGATTAGTTGGGGCATGCCTCAAGTTAACAGACTTCACGTAAAACCATTCACATAGCTCAGGCCAGCAATGCCAGCCTTTCTTAGAAGTACGCACCAGTGACAAAACAGCCAATACTAGCAGCATACGTAGGTCTTTTACTGTAGGTCCCTCTTAAGTGCTGCATCGTACATGTTCCTTGCCTGTTGCTTTAACTTCCTTATTTGTATTTTTTGTAAATTGTATTTTCTGGTAACTTTTTATGTTTGTAGTCCTGTGTGATTTCTATAGTTTTGCCTTCTTTTTTTTTAGGTGACTCTGAAAACCTTTTTTTTTTTTTTCTGCTTTGGCCTTTTACCCTATCTCAACTAGAAAATTATCTACTGGTGTAACCAGCTGTCAATTACAGTGGTAGCTAAACACTTGAATGCCTAAGCCAGGAAGATCCCTGGTCATACAATACATCTTCTTGTGTCAATGAACTCCATTTTCCTTTAGAAAATAATAGTTGCAAGTAATCATATGTTCTTAAATATGCTTTCGTAGGTTCTGCTCACATTTAAGTTTACTGACCAATAGCTTCTCTGCTGGTATTGTTTGTGTTTTATGTTTTTCCAAGGTATGTTATCCACAATAGAGAGGGAGAAAACAAACCCGTGATTAGTATTCTGCAGTGACATGGTGCCACCATCGGGTTATTTCAGACTGGCTGTTAGACGTAAGAATCACACTTACCTCATTCTGAGATATCTGCTTTGTGTAGACATGTGATTAGTAACTTTTTCTGAATTTCATAATAATGTTCTAAAAAGAAAAATGCAAGTTCTTGTTTTCAGATTTATGGCTAGGGAAGGTGACTTTTGTCTTCCATGTTTGTGTAGAAAGTTATGCCATCTGCTGTACATCTTCTGCAAGAGCTTTTGATCCTGTTGGATAATTCTCATCAAGTATGGCAGAGAGTTAAACATCTCAAAGATGGAAGTTCCTGCAATTTATGTGAAAACAGCGGAGTAGAGAACAAAATGAATGCCCTCATAAAGAGAAAGGCCAGAACCTGGGAGATTCTTCACTATGAAAGAAAGTTCTCATGTACTAGACAATCCACACAGGAGAGAGAGATCATCAATTTCCCTCACTTTTGGAAGGAACTATGGTCAGAATTTATATCATCTTAGACCCTAAAGTCAGTTAAACGCAAAGGACATGTTTGTACAAAACCATTAATTCCAATTTACACAGAATGGCTTGGTTTGTGTATTATTTGACATTTTCCCTGTTAGATATTTGCAAATCTTCTGGTTTTGAGCCAGGCACTGTACATTCATAAAAACTGAGATTGATTTGCTTAATGTTGACACTGCTTTTCCATTCTAGTAGTCTTTAAAATGAGCTTTGGCAAATCTTTATTTCAAATTGCAAACTGATTTAGCTAATAGAGTCCAAATAAGGATTAGATGCTCCTGCAAATATTTGCTGTGGTTTTTAATCTTTTCCAGGGTTTGAGCTGAATTTAGGCATGTTAGATGGGGATGCACATCACTAGTTACCCATTAGTGGAGTTTCACAAATTTTTAGAGGCTCTGGGTTTGACTCTTTTAAGAAGAAAAAACTGGTTAATTAATTAATTAATTTGGGTAAAAACTACTTCTTATGTATTTTTGTTCATTTTCCTCTTTTGTTAAGTTGCTCCGGTAATGAATTTGTACCTAAGTGTCATTTTTTTCTTTACATTAATTTAGTGTTACTAGCAAAGGACAAACAGTGCTACTGAGTCACTT